AAGAGGTCATCAAGTTGCTTGGTATGGAAACGTACGCCGACGCGGTCGTTGGTGTCCCTGGTGAAGGTATTTATGCTCTCCCTGGCTGTTTGTGATCAACTTGCGCTCTAACATAATACAAGGTCTGAACGTTGAACAACGCAAACGTCTTACGATCGGTGTGGAATTGGCCGCCAAGCCCCAGCTCCTTCTGTTCCTGGACGAGCCGACTTCCGGTCTCGACAGTCAAACTTCGTGGTCCATCCTTGATCTCATCGACACCTTGACCCAACATGGACAAGCCATTCTCTGTACTATTCACCAGCCCTCCGCCATGCTCTTCCAACGTTTCGATCGCCTTCTGTTCCTCGCTCGTGGTGGAAAGACTGTGTACTTCGGTGACATTGGTGACAAGTCGTCTACGCTTTCTAGCTATTTCGAGAGGAATGGCGCCCCGAAGCTGCCCGCCGATGCCAACCCTGCTGAATGGATGCTCGAAGTTATTGGTGCCGCCCCTGGATCCCACAGCGATATTGACTGGCCCGCCGTGTGGCGTGAAAGTCCCGAACGCAAGGGTGTCCTGAACCACCTTGGCGAGCTGAAGTCTTCCCTCTCCCAGAAATCGGCCGAGCCCGCCAAGGCGGACCCCAGTGGCTTCAACGAGTTCGCCGCTCCTTTCATGGTGCAGCTGTACGAGTGCCTGGTCCGTGTGTTCTCCCAGTACTGGCGGACTCCCGTGTACATCTACTCAAAAGCCTCGCTCTGTGCCCTCACCGCCCTGTATATCGGATTCTCCTTCTTCCACGCCCAGAATACCAAGCAGGGTCTTCAGAACCAGATGTTCAGTATCTTCATGTTACTCACCATCTTTGGTAACCTCGTGCAACAAATAATGCCTAACTTTACGACGCAACGTGCGTTGTACGAAGCGCGTGAGCGGCCTTCTAAGACCTACTCGTGGAAGGCGTTTATGACGGCCAATATTATCGTGGAGCTGCCGTGGAACGCTTTGATGAGTGTCATTATCTTCGTCTGCTGGTACTACCCTATCGGTCTTTATCGCAATGCAGAGCCTACCGACTCCGTCCACGAACGTGGCGCGCTGATGTGGCTGCTTATTCTTACCTTCCTCCTCTTCACTTCGACTTTCGCACACATGATCATCGCGGGTATCGAACTCGCCGAGACGGGTGGTAACCTGGCTAACCTGCTGTTCTCGCTCTGTCTGATCTTCTGTGGTGTCCTGGCCACTCCTGAAAAGCTCCCTGGCTTCTGGATCTTCATGTACCGCGTCTCGCCATTCACGTATCTCGTGTCAGCTATGCTCTCGACTGGTGTGTCCGGCACGAACGCGATCTGCGAGAAAGTGGAATTCCTCAACTTCACGCCTCCGCCCAACACCACCTGCCAGGACTATATGGAGCCGTACATAAGTATGGCCGGTGGATACGTCGACAACCCCGACTCCACCAGCTCGTGCTCGTTCTGCGCCATCAGTCGCACCGACACGTTCCTGGCGTCCGTGCACAGTGACTTCAACGACGCGTGGCGCAACTTCGGCCTCATGTGGGTCTACATTGTGTTCAATATCTTTGCTGCCGTGTTCATTTACTGGCTTGCTCGTGTCCCGAAGGTCAAGAAGACCAAGAAGGAATAAGCTTTCAGCCACTTGTTATATATTATATACCGTGTTCATATCCTGTTGATTTAGATTGTGGATAGATTTCCCCTATTTTCGTGCCTTATTTTGGATTGGATGGGATTGATTGATTGCATTCCCCTTACACGTACCTACACATACATGTTTATAAAGTGTTCAGAACATATTCTTTCTTCTTTCCACTTTTGGACTTCCCTCCACTCTTTTTTTTTTCGCTTCTTGACTCTCGTTAATTAAATTTTTGATACGTTTTTGTTAGATCTTGTGCCCCAAAACTTTCCGATTTGATTATTGTTTTATTGTTTTATAAACTTGACCACGTGTATATGTATGCGAATGTATATCATTCACTCTCTGCACCTATTACCATCTTTAAATGCAGCTAACGTAAACCACAACCGAGCCGCGGATCTAAGCGAGCCGCGGATTTTCAATCAAAATTCCACCCTCTTTATTCAACACGTCATATCTTCAACACTAAATACAATATGCCTCCTTCTAAAGAATCACGTATTCAAATGGCTATTTCAGCTTATCGGAAAGGTCAAATCAAATCGATATTACGCGCTGCGCAGGTTTTTGCGATCCCTGAAAGTACCCTACGCGATCGACTCAACGGTGCAACACCACGATCAGAAACACGCGCCAATAGTCATAAACTTACTCAACTTGAAGAAGAAACGCTTCTTAAGCAATTACTAGATGCAGATATGCGAGGATTTCCAATGCGGCCCGAATTTCTACGCGAAATGGCAGGAATACTACTTCGCGCGCGCCTCCGAAACCATGCAGCAATTATTGGATCTAACTGGCCATATAATTTTACCAAACGTCATCCTCAACTACGTACACGATATAACAGATGGATTACATATCAACGTGTAAAACAAGAGGATCCAAAGGTTATAATACCATGGTTTCGAACTGTCCACAAGGCTATCCAAGAACACGGTATACACGAAGATGATATCTGGAATTTTGATGAGACTGGCTTTGCAATGGGACTCTGCACTACTTCAAAAGTAATTACTGCAGTTGAACGAAGCGAGCGGCCACGCAGAGTTATCCAGGGTAATCGTGAATGAGTTACAATTATCGAAACAATCAGCTCAAAAGGCGTATCTTTACTACCGATTATTATACTGAAAGGGGGCCAACAACAAGCTGCTTGGTTCCAAGAACCTAAGCTTGCTAAAGACTGGTGGATTGCAACAAGTGAAAATGGCTGGACTACCGATGAAATAGGTCTTCTTTGGCTAAAGAATGTCTTTGAACCTTTCTCCAAGCGCTATATGACCGGTGCAAAACGCCTACTTATTTTGGACGGCCATAGTAGTCATTTGACTGTTGAATTCGATGATTTTTGCAAACAAAATGCAATAATATGTCTTTGTATGCCTGCCCACGCTTCACACCTTCTTCAACCGCTTGATGTGGGTGTTTTTGGCCCGCTTAAACGCACATACGGAAAGCTGCTTGAAGGGCGTATGGCTGCGGGTAACAACCATATTGATAAAGAGGACTTTTTATCACTATATCCAGACGCACGGGCTCAAGTCTTCACTTCTACAAATATCTGCAGTGGCTTCGCAGGAGCAGGGCTTAAGCCATTTGATCAAGAGCGTGTTCTTTCTAAACTTACTTTTCGACTACATACGCCTACACCTGCACCATCACTAGTTGAAGGATCAGTTTCCTCTGCTTTTCAAACTCCACAAAATACTCGCCAGTTAGATCGAAAGGTCAAAAGCTTACAAAGGAGCCTCAATAAGAAACGGCAGCTTTCTAGCAGCCCTGTTACGCATCTTCAACATCTTGAAAAGGCTGCACAAATGGCAATGCAGACTAAACTGCTTTTAGAGCAAGAAATTATGACTGTACGAGCTGAAAATGAGCGAAAATATAAAAAGAAAGCAAGGAAGCGTGCTGCACTAGGTAATGACCGCCTCCTTAATGTACAGGAAGGTGATAATCGCGTTCAGCAGCTTGATATGCAGCTTAATGAGCAACCTGAGCAATCTACTCCTACACCTCGCCAACGGGCTCCGCCCCGCTGTAGCGGCTGTGGGACAGTTAGACATACAATTCGGAGTTGTACAAATAAGTAGCTAATTTTTTATATATTTATTTAATCGAATTTAATGGTGTTAGTGGTTAAATAGCTTCAAGTAGTGGTGGCTATGGCAAAGGATCCGCGGCTCGCTTAGATCCGCGGCTCGGTTGTGGTTTACGTTAACTATTTGGCTAATGACATGAACCGGAACTTTAATTTAACTTCACGGTTTCCAATTACCCTTGTATGTATGTATGTATGTAATGTATATAGGTAGGTCCGACTCTGAGATAACTCATTCCCCTCGGTAACTGTTCCCTCTCCGGTTCCCTCATCCTTCAAAATCCTTCCTCGTCCAAAACCCACCGCAAGGACAAATGCATATGCACGATCAATCAATCGATCAATCAAAATTCTATTAACCTGGTGGAGCCTATCTATTGAAACGACAGGCTATGCAGGCGCTTCGCCGAATGAAGCAGAATCTCGAGCCCGTACGCCATATAAACCCAATGCAGTAGACAAAAGAGATCAAAGAGTAACACAACTAAACCGGCTGCCACACGCCTGCCGCGTGCCTACTGCACCCCTAGACGCTGTTATCTCCTTCCACTCCGTTCTATCTGTGGTATTCCAGTGGGATCGTTCCTGTATGCGTCACGTAGCCAGTTGAGACTTGCTGGCTCTTAGTGTTCTATATAACCATCGTCTTCCTCGTTTAGATCGAGTCCCTTTAGGAGAGTGCTGGGTTCCGGGGGCCCCTCGTCCTCGTCGTCGTTAAAAGTAGCGAATTGAAACTGCTGGAGGAGACCTGTTCGTTGCATGAATTCGGCGACGTAGCGTATCGCCTGCGGGTGATTCATGACTGCGTCGTAGTCTTGCATACGCCCACGCAGCCCCTCGATAGAGTCGAGGCGTTCCATAATTATTCTCCGACCAGCGAGGTGCAGCGAGCACTCCATAAGGACGTGTTTCGGCGTCTAAGAGCCTAATTCACACCCGCAGCGGTCGGATGTGCATATGCACGTGCATGCTCTCCCTCCACCAAGATCTACCATCTAAGATGCAGAACCGAGATTTCCCCTCCCCTAACTCCGCCGATAAACTGCCCTCTGTCATCACGAGAGTCGCATTCCCAGACAAACATCCTGCACGGAATACCTACATCCCCGTTCCCCCGTCAGTTCCAGATCCGCCAGAGAGATCGACACAGTCTGCACGCCCGTAGCCGCCCCGACCATGGTTCGGGCCGAGATTGGTGAGTAGAATGTACGCCTCTCTGGACCTGCTGGTATCGGGGCCTGAAATCTACGTTTGGAGCTGTCGGGCCTGATTGCCTCCAGAGCCAGGGTTGCGCGGCTGCATGGGAACTGAGCGCAAAAGTCTGCGGCGCGACGTGCGGCGCGAGAGGTGAGGATCTGACGGCCCAGAGCGTCTAGGGTGGTTAGATCCGAGCCGAAGATGAGGTTTGCGGCGGCGCCGATCCAATGGCTCGTAACGGTGAGGCGTTGGGTGGGGGTCGTTGATTTTAGAGACGGAGGCGGGGTTGGCTATGAAGAGGTTATCGAGATCCGGGCGCGCGGTCATGGTTCTTTGTTCGTGCACGAGCTGGTTGATGTATTGGCGGCATTGCTCGATGGTACCTTGGATCTTCCACATGCCGACGAAGGAGCGGGAGTGTTGGTTGTTGATGTCGACGGCGAGATGGATGGAGTCGGATGTGGAGTCCCAGATATCAAGGTAGGGGTTGTTGCGACAGATGTTGGAGGAGAGGTCCAGACGGATTTGGCGGCCGGAGTTGAGGATGGCGCGGTGGTAGGCGATGGCTGCGCCGCTGGTGTCGGGTGGTGTGGCGAAGTCTTGGACGATGGACCCGGGGGTGATATATTCGAGTTTGATCATGTCGGTGCCCCAGGAGGCCCAGAGGTCGATCATGGAGTTGTGGTAGAGCTGGGTGTTGGGGTTGCAGTAGTTGAAGTAGCACAGGTCGTAGCGGTCGGTGACGTTAGTGCCGAGGATGGCCTTATTAGCTGCTTCGCAGGGGATGTTGGGCATGTTGTAGAGACCCAGCTTCAGGCTCCTGGAGTGTAGGTGTTTGCCGAGCGCGGGCAGGTCGAATCGCGTCTTGTTGTAGGTGATGCGGCCGTGGTCGTCGGTGACGGAACTATACCAGCTGCCATCGAGGCTGCAAAGGTTGTAGCCGGCGGCCAGGATGTCCGCGTCTGCGAGAACGTTGCATTGTTTGATGATGAACGACTGGTTGGTCAGGGGAGACAGGAACGCGGGACTGCTGGGGGTCGTGAGCAGGTTGATCTGGATTCCCCAGGAGTTCCATTTACGAGGGGCTGCGGAGAAGCCGTGGGTCGTTCGGCCTGCCCGTACTGGAGTCAAGGGACCTCCTATCCTATGGTGTTTGGAGCAAGGGGATAGCAGCCAGCAGGAGCTCGCTCTTGGAGCAGAATTCCTGATGCGTTGGCAGCCAGGAGAGTGGAAAGAAGTAGGGGCAAGCTTGTCATCGTTGGGACCATGGGGACCGTTGTCAGGCGATGTGTGCTTTCTGAGACCAGAATTCTCCAGGCAAAAGAGCTATTTAAATAAAAGTAGAATCGCTCATCGATCATGCAGCATCGAGTTCGCTCAACGATACCCGATGCTCTGGCGTTGTACACCTCAACGCGGTCTGGAGACAACGCCAATGTAAAGTAGCTGCATGCACAGTTGTAGACTAGCAGGACTGGGGGATGTGGAGTACACCCGAGGCAAGAAGAATCCAGGGGCAATTTAGCACTTGAGAGCATCCAGGCCGGTTGTTCTCTAAACAATCCACGCGGGGAGCACAGGGACGAACGGAAGCCATGCTAGCACAGTCGCTATTGCATGGTTGTCTGTTCGCCTCTCTAACCAGTATAGGCTTCGAGATCCTCTGTTTTGAAGAGGTATAACAGTGATGATCATGCAGCGTCTCAAGGCAAAGAGCAATGCCATCGTCAAGTATAAAGATAAACCATGGTAGGTACTGAACGCGTCGTGGGACAGCGGCCTTGGATACATCATGAAGCGGAACACAGATAATAATTCTCCCCGTTGTGATGAGTTTCCAATCGTTAATGATCAGAGCATACTACTTGAGCTCTCCGGACTAAGGGAAGAACTTCAGTTGATTTCACCCCGAGCTAAAAGGATCAGCTTCATACCCCAGGTCCAGGCGACCCTTGAAGGAATAAGCGTGGGACGGTGCATAGCTTTTTCCCCATCCGAGCATGTAAGGCCAACTCAGGAACTCCTGACCTAATGCGGAGTAGGATTCCTCCGTTAGAAACCTTCGAGAGATGTGTCCGGTGTCATGCTCGGGCAAGATTGCTGGACAGGTTTATTTATAGCAAACATCATGCGCAATATGGAGAGGGTTTTTCTTTCCATCCCAACAGATAATATAGTACCCAGCGCGACGGTCGCTTAGAGTGGACTGGGTGTGGCATCTGACCTCGTTCAGCCCTGTCTCGGGGACTTGAGGGTTGACAGTTAACACCGACAGCGAAAACCCATAGACAGTGTCAATATAAGCATGTCGTGGTGTCGTCGACCACCGAATAGACATGGATATGATTATCCCGGGACCCCGACGAGATGTAGAAACAAACACTCGGTTGGCTCGGACTCCTAGTCGTTCGCCCAAGAGGTATGTCCAGGACTTATGTGTATTCCGTGAAGGGACTCCACATTGGTCTTATAGATAGATAGATATCAGGTCAACATGGCGTTATCATATTAACGATAAATCAAAAAGACTGGATAACCTTTCAGTGCATGTGGACGTGTTTGATAGACTGATGAGTACCATGATGGATCTGAATGAATGAAGTCGAAGAATTGCAATTAAGAAGAAGGTAGTTGTTAATGAGGAAGAAGGGATCTTCGCTTCTCAGGCGTTGCATATGAATAAATTCTTGGTAGTGTAGCCTCAGGCATTCCATGATTTCACAATAGATGCCCATGGATGCGGATGCACTGCGTCAGGAATATAGGCAGTGTAGAAAAGAAAAGTGAGAGTCGATTGGACGATTGGACTAGTAACTACTAATCTCCACTCGGACTTTTGCCATCGACAGTAGAAAGCACTACCTAGAAGATAGAAGGTAAAAGAACAATCAAGGTGAGTGAGACTCCAACGTAGTGCACTATATCAAGTCTCCTACTTAGTTAATTACTTGGCCTTCCATATACTCCGTAGAAGACGTCGAAACCGTGGGATCTTTCCCTCGTTTTCTCTCTCAAAGTCTCCCGTACAAAAGACAAAGACCAAGTACGAACACGATCTCTCGTAAGGAAAACCCAGCAGTAAGCTTAGAATAGAACTAAAGTGCCTAGATAATGCTAGAGTGCTAGCACAGGGCCGAAAGGCAAACATTAATTAAAGTAGATTAACTCGGAAATTAGCGATCGGGAATATGACCAGTGACTACAAAGAGAATGGCCACAGGCAAACTATTTACGCTGTCATACGATCGGGACCATGGAGACTGGAGAAAGACCAGAATTTCGAAAAATAGTGGGTTAATATAGTAGTAGATTAGGTAGCAGGCAAGAAGGAAAATTTCTATTTTTGGTCTAGAAAAGTTCTATCACCTAATTGCTCCTCACCATCTTCACCCCCCCTTTTTCACATGCACAAGGTATATCAGATAAAGATAAATTAATTTCGATCAATAAAAATCTGATCTAGTTGGCGTAGTTGAGGAGAGCCTTGAAGATGCTGGCCAGGTAGTTCAGCTTCTCCTCGGCGGTACCGTCCTTGGGGATGGAGGTGGAGGCAGAGGCAGCAGCCTCAGTGGTGGCGGCGGCAGCGGCCTCGGTGGTAGCAGACTGCTTCACGCTGGTGGCCAGGGTGGTAGGGGCAGAGCTGGAGACAACCTGGTTGCCAGTGCTGGGGGTGGTGGTGATGGCAACGGGGGCGGTGGTAGAGACGGCACCGGCAGCAGAGCTGGAGCTGGAGCTGGAGCCGGAGGAGCCGGAGCCGGAGCCGGAGCCAGAGAGGGTGAAATCAACGCAAGACTGGTAGGTCTGGTCGATGGACTCGGCGTACCAGTACCACTGGAGAACACAGTCACCGGCGGTGTTACACTTGCTGCCGAGGTCATCGGGCATGGTGACGCTGAAGCTGGTCTCGTCGTCCTTGACACCGGTGGAGGTGGAGGCGTATACGTCCCAGGAGATCAGGGGGCTGCCAATGACAGAGTTGGAGGCAGTGTCGACGACGGAGACGTTGGCAACACCGGTGTGAGGGGCACGGATGTCAACCTCGAAGTTGATCTTCTCACCGGCCTTGTAGGACTGGATGTTGTCCTTGTTGTCGGCAAGCTTGTAACCCTTGCAGAGCCAGATGTCACACTTGGCGGCGTTGTAGTCGTCCTGGCCCGAGGCGACCTGGAGCTCACCCTGGATGTTACCGTAGTTGTCGGACTCCTGGTTGGACTTGACCTGCTGACCGCAAGCAGAGGCCATGGCATCGCCGGGCATACGGGGCTTGGGGCTGGTGACGAAACCGTGGGCGTTGGCCATGGAGACAAGGCCGGCGACGGCGAGGATAGATCCGGTGGTCTTCATTTTGAAAGGTGGAAAGTGGTTTGTAGCGAAGAGAATGTGATTTGACAGAGAAAGACAAGGTATACCAGTATACCGGAAGTCAAGATAAAGAGTGAATGAAAGTTTGAAAGAATGGGATTGGTCACGGACCAAAGTGTTAAGAGAATGTGGAATGAAAGAAGACAAGGCAAGCCTGCGTGCTGAAGAGAAAGAAAGAAAAAAGAGTCAAGACGAGCGTTCCTCCTCCATGCCTATATACCAAGTTCCCGTCACTCTCGGATGACGGCTGACTAGGGTAAGCTCCATAACTATCGGACGAAGGATCGTGAAACAAGACTCTAGTCCTGACCAGGGACCAAGTTTCCCTGATTCAGGCCCCGGTCAACTCTACCGAAATAACGGCGGTTTAACTAATGTCGGTCAAGGCGTTTGAAAAGATGGAGACTGACAGTTCACTAACCCGCCGGAGGGATTGGCAACCAGCATCGGCGAAAAGCCGACAGACCTGCCAAGAGCGTCAGCGCCTGTGAGTTGTGACGGGCACAGCGCGCGGAGTTTCACCTTAATTGGAGTGAAACAAAAGTGGAGGATCGAAGAGGAGCTTAGGAGCAGGTCCGGGATGCTTGGCACTCTTAGGGTTTCAGCTTCATTAAGCCGGCGTCTGGTTTAGCCCCAAGCGAAACCACGCGCGGTTCCCGGCTTAATTACCCTCGTCGGCCTCCAGTTCTGTGATTGATCCTGTCTGGTTCATCCGTTAATCTATTTCATATATGTGATTTCTGATTTCTCCCCCCTGGGCCAATTTCGCCCCACCCGCTACAGCACCATCGTGGTCCTGGAGTCTCCTATGTTTAATGACCGTTCTGATCGGTCGCATTTCCTGGAAAAGATCAGCCATAAGTCAATAGTCTCTGCATGGGCTCGTCCTTACGGAGAGACACTTGACTCCACTCAAGCCCTCAATAGTTGCTTGAGACTGTTCCGAACGAGCCTTATTTGATCGTCCCACCAGCCGGATAGGTACTTCTGTCCCGTCCACGGCGCCTACCACAGAGACTTATACATACAAGAAAGAGAAGAAAAAAGAGAAGGAATATATCATTCAAGCAGAAAATATTCAATGAGTATTGATCCGCAACAGAGGTATCATAGGAACCAAAAGAACAGGGAGTGTACAGTTATACAAAATCGTGGCAGAAGGCATTCACTCATTAGTTCGCCCAATGACAGTAGAGGGATAACAGATATGTAAAGAATGATCAAGGGGATGGATAAATAGAAAAATGAATATAATAAGAGAGGGAAATAATGCCAAGAGGCACTCAAAGGCCGTCAAGTTCGCTAGATAGGCCGTTGCTGGGGGTCGCTCCACCAGTCGTTGGGCGGCCCATCCATCCGTGAAGTTTCGGCATGGGTCGGTGCGTTCATAGGAGAATTGAAGTTGTCCGCAAAGGGATTCTGGACCTGGAAATCCTCGGACCGATACTCATGCTGTCCCGCGCCATTGTTTGTCGACGGTGGGAACCCTGCTGCAGGGGTCATCATCGGCACTGCAGGTTGTTGCACCGGTGCCGCGGAGGGTCCAGGAGAACTCTGCGGTTGCCATTGTGATACAGGGGGTGGTGGAGGAACCGGCCGCAATGCCCCCGACGCCGACGTATCATCCGACGAAGAAGGCGACTGGCTCCCGGCTTGGCCCAGAGTTTTGCGAGCCTTCAGAATGGCATGCTGATGTTTCGATAGTGCCACCGATAATTCATCGTTCGCTTCGATCAACGTCATCAGCGTATCCTCGTCAGGCGCCGGGTTCGTCGAATGGATATATTTCTCCATAGCACGCGATGCCACCCGACACCGGTCGGAAAACTCCTTGATAAGCTCATTCTCCAGATACTCTGCGGGCGGAGTTGACTGGACAAACTGGATCAGAAGCTTCGCCGACGTCTTAGCTTCAGACACACGTGCGGCCAGTTCGTCCGGGGGTGGAAGCGACGAACTATTCTGTCGAACGTTAAAGTAATTCGATTGCGTACCCTGGGGCTGGGGCGAAGGCTGCGAACGCCAAGTGCTCTGTATCCAGACAGAAACGTTAGCGCTGTGATTTGAGGGTATTCAATTCAGGGTGCTGCCTGAATCGACCGATAGGTTCACCTACCCCACTATTGGATCTTGTGAGCTTCGTCTTTTCCTTCCGCCACATTCCTATAAGCAGCCCCAAATCTTCATCCCATGGTCGCTGGGTGTCAAAAGTGTCCAAAGTGTCCCGGAGGAAGTGTTGCACATTCGAGTCCCTCCCCTGTCGCAGGAGATCCTTCACGGTAGCGACAAATTTGACATCGATATTGCGCGTAAACGTATGACCGGGGTTATCGACGAGGATGCGAATCAGCATGATCGCATTGTACTGCGCATTGGCTGGCGGCGTGGCGGCCGTGTCGGAGAGCAACTTGCGAATGCGATGGGCGGCTTCGCGGGCGGCATTAGGACTGGACTCGGCGCTTTCGACGATACCAGGAAGATGAACGAATTCGTCTCCTTGCTGTTGAAATAACAACTGTAAGCCTGCTGCCTCGCATTGGCAAAGGGGAGGGGTTCCCCTATTGTGACAGAGTACGTACGGGATTGCCGGGACCAGCGCCCGCTTCGCAAAAGGCATTCTATCAATCACCACAGGTGTTAGCAGGGGTGTGTTCGTAGGATAGATTCTCAATCTTCTTGCAGTAATATACGAACCACTTCTCTTAAGATAACGCCCTCAGGGGAGTCGTCAGGGTAGGCCGCGGGACTGTCCAGCGAGGACGCTGTGTCTGAGTAACCGTTAGATCGATCGATTGATTAGATGTCGCAAAGACAAGGACGACCTACTGGAGCGCTTGTTAAAGGAACCAAATATCCGTTTCATTATGCCGGATGGAAATAGAAGACCAATAAAAAAACAAAGACCGATTCTGCCGACGGACGTGAAAGAAGGAAAGAAAGCGCAGATGAGGAGGTGCTTTGTCCGATGAAGTTAAGACGGCGCGATAAACAGCGCTTAGGTAAGGAGAAAACTACCTCAGCCCCCCAGGTTCCAGTGTTAGTTCCAGGCAGAAAGAAGTTCCATCAAAGTGGCAAACACCGCGACACGCAAGCCCTTTTTCTATCCTTAGATCTTCTTGGTTCTTGGCTGAACCCTTCTCCATTCGTCGGGAATACTGATGCCTGGGACTTTGCGCGGCGATCTAGGCAAATGCGATCGTTGACACATAGGCATACGTATATATACTTATTTCTGAGCGACTTTAAAGATCTTACATCGTCATCGGTCTTCGTGAGTACATGTTACATTCTATCTCTAGGGCCATCTATTCGTGGAATTTCATTAAGCTCAAAAAGCAACGAGTCCTCGCAGACTGTCCGAGTCTCGTGGTCAGCGTTGCATGGAAGCACAGCCACCCTTGGCCTTACAGACCAGTCGCTGTTGGTCGGACATTATGCAACTGGCTGACGAGACTGGTGGATATAAGTCCGAGTGTTGTACTAACGGTGTAGGTATCCTGTCGGGTTACCCATAGGCAGGCCAATTTCGACCGAATAACTATGATCGAGGATCATCCAGTGAACTACGATTACAATAGGGCTGAGGAATGCATTTCCCCAGCCACGAGAAATGGACAGGTTAGATAGTCCTGACACCAGTGCACCCCGGTCAAGATCGTAGACAGTGATTCCGTAACCCATTCATGAAAAAAAGACACGCTCAATAGTATTTCGAAGTATGAGAATAGTACCGGGTCAGGTTGTACCTCAGTAATGACATTCGTTCGTCGTAAAGAGCCGTGGGCGACGTCCAAAAACTTGCCCGGCTCTTCTCCAAGTCCAGAGGCAAAACCAGAGGGAAGATCGGAACAGAAGTCAAGACGCAAGGAACACGTTCATAACAAAACAGTTACGAGCCGAGAATCATCATCGGTGCCCGTGATATTCGAATTTTTTGGCAAAAATTTAATTTTTGTATTCCTTCCGTGACCAGGTATTTGTTCCGTACAACAGAAAACTCCGGCTTTCCCATTCATTTTCCAACTACTTTACTACTTTCTCCCCGACACCCACAAACCGCTTATGCTTGGATGGCACGGCGGATCTCAGCACCGCGCTGGCGGGAGCTGAGGCGAGCCTCCTCGCGCTTGACAACGTGAGGGCCCTTCTGGACGACCTCCTCACCCTCGGTAAGGATCAGCTCGATGTGGCAAGGGTTGGTCATGTAGGGGTTGATCTATAAAAAAAAAAGGTCCAAGTCAGCCTTTGGTGCTCAAGCAGATTTTACCGGATGGAAATACATACACGACCGTGAGCACGGTAAGTACGTCTGCGGCCCTTGGGAGCCTGGTTGACCTGGATGTGCTTGACAATGAGGTTGCCGGTGTCGAGACCCTTGATGTCGGCGTTGGACTCGGCGTTCTTGAGGAGGTCGAGCAGGAACTCGGCAGACTTGACGGGCCAGCGGGCCTTGCTGACACCCCACTGCTTGCCTGTAAAATGAAAAGAAACTGGTCAGCCGGCTGTTCCTTCCCTGTGTCTGGATTGTCCACGAAATTTCCAAGTCCCCAGTTATCCCTGTGATATCGGCTCGATTTCCACCACAAGTTCTTTCTCCTCCGACATTCATCCATTTTTTTCATTTCGTGACCTTCGAACCAGACATTCCTCCGCAGTGTAAAGAGTTTTCATCACTCACCCTGAGCGCAGCGACCGGTGCTGCCAGCGTAGCGGCGCATGGGGACGGCCTCGGCCTTGTTGGTGACGTTGCCGAGGAAGGTGAGAGCGCGCTGCAGCTTCATGCCGTTGATGGCCTGGGCGGTCTCGCGGGTGTTCTTGAAGCTGACACGCAGGTAAGAGCCCCGGGCGCGGGCGCTCTTAGCGGCCGGAATCTCCTGAGCAGCGTAACGGACCTGAAAAACGACAAATCCCAAATCAGCATAACTTGTCCCCGATATTTCTTCCTCCTAAACGCAATTGACAGGCTTTCGTGGTGGTGATAATGGCGGTGGATGACAGGGCCGAAAAGTTTCATTCTTTCTCTCTCTCGCTCTCTCGGAATATCGACGTCGCCAATATTGGGATTGGGCTGGATCGAACAAGGATCGGGGGATCACAACGGGGCAGAGGGACAAGAATTTCCCTTCATTCGGGCCATGTCTTCATCACCATAAAACCATCAGCGAAAATAGCACTCACCATCTTGATGTGGTTGCCGGGCGGGGTGGTCCTCGATGTCGGGTGAGAAGTTTTGTCGCTTTTCTTTCGGCGGCCACTGGAACTTGAGATCGCGAGGCTCGTCTCGTTGTAGTGCGCTTTTTCGCTCTTGGCGTTCGTGGCCCTAAGCGAGCCCTAACGCTAATCTGTGCTGGGCATTTATCTTATTCACCGCCCGGCATAATCGGACATTGCCGCCAAGTTCCTCTCTATCCGTCTGGTTCACTCCGCTATTCACTCTACTTCACGGTAGTTACCCTTATTCTCGACGACAGTCTACAGCACTCTGACTGGCTGGTTCAAGGACAATGCCACTAGAATTCAGATGATCTCTATTCCCTAATCTATCTACTGGTATCTTCCTCTACGACTTCTGCTCCGGTACCAACGTGATCATCTCGCCCTTTTCCACCGCCGAGCGCAGGTTATTCAGCACCAACAGCTCCATGTCCTTCTGCGTCTCGTATGTCATAGTTCCGATATGCGGCAACAGCATCACCCGAGGGTTGTTAATTAGCCCTTCCTCCACGACCGGCTCGTTCTCATAAACGTCCAATCCAGCCGACAAAACCTAGTAGTAGATAGATACCGTTAGCCTCGGTCGCAGGAGCCTGTCTGAACACCCCTTATGGAAGTACTTGGCCATGCGTGCTTACCTTGCCCGACTCCAAAGCCGCCACCAACGCCTTCTCATCAATCAGCGCACCACGGGCCGTGTTGACCAGCACCACCCCGTCCTTCATCTTCTGGAACTCTTTTTCGCCAATGATATGCCGGGTATTTGCGTTTAGGGCCAGGTTCAAGCTCAGCACGTCCGAGGTCGCCAGTAGCTCGTCAAACGACACGTACGTAGCATCGCCTTCCAGTTCAGGCGACAGTCGCGACCGGTTGTGGTAGTGGATCTTCATGCCGAAGGCTTTGGCGCGGTTGGCCATTTCCTAGTTGTTTGAGTCAGTAGGCTTTTCTTTTTCTCTTTCTCTTTCTCTTTCTCGCAAGAAGTAGAGATACGGAGATACGATAGGTACTTACCCGACCAATACCTCCCATCCCAAGGATGCCCAGCACTTTGCCTTGAGGATCGCGGCCTAGAGTAGCCTTTCCTTGCCACTGGCCTGTTGGGTCGAGCGTCAGTTTCCATGGATTTCAACCGGTCACGTCACCTTCGATAGATAGGTCAGGTAAGGAGCAGAAACAGAAGAGGACGTACCAGCTCGCAGAGCAGCCAACGGCACATAGGCCTGTCGCAAAGCACCAATCATCAGGAAAATGCCCACGTCGGCCGTCGCATGGTTAACCGCGACGGGCGTGCTGGAAACCAGGATCCCTAGATAGAAAAGCCAGTCAGTAAAGACACTTCCATGCTTCATGTCGCGGTGTCTTAGACATAAATATCAGGGAACATAACATACCGTGTTGCGTACACCCCGGGATATCCACATTATCGTACCCGGCGCCGTTATGACAAATATATTTCAGAGACTTGGGCAAGACAGAGAGCAGCTCTGCGTCGAAGGGGCCGGTGAACTAGAGAGATGCCACCATTCCTCACGAATTAGCCACCAGAGATATTTTTTTCCCTTCTTGTTTCTTTTATCTTGTCTTCCATCACGGGATTGGGCTTCCGGTCCTACCTTGGTCGAGGCATTGGACCGATAAATCACCAGCACATCATCGTACTGCCCGTCTTTGCAATTGCGGATGAAATCATCGCGCGTTCCCTCGGGGAATTCCTAGTATGCTTCTGATTAGGAGGACTGCGATAAGAGAATTCTGCCGAACAGAGTATCTCACCTTCAGTGTCAACAGCGACGAGAGCTCCTCCCACTCCTTGCGGGCGTGGGTAATGGCACCGATCAGCAATGCGGAGGGCATGATGTCAGAGACGCGGGGTTGGATACAGTATACACGGGGAGTATAGAGAAAACACGAGGATAGAGAATGGGAAAACAGATGAGAATTGAAGGGAGAGGGGAAAAGCAAAAGAAGCAGGAAATGACACAGGAGAAATTTCCGATCACCGAACCATTTATGATGATTTGGCTGGAAATCTGGTCTAGAGGATTAATTGATTGCGATGGTTTCTGGCGTGGGGGGTCGGCGATTCTTCCGGCTTGTATGTATTTGTATTATGCCTATCTGTGTCATACTTACGGTGTAGAGGTAGTTAGTCTGGGTAGGTAGAGTATACCCAGTATACGCATTATATCTCATGGCATAACTACGGGTCGATTGATACGTATAAACCATGAGTATGCCTTTAAGCTATAAATGCATTTCCTATCAGCATTTCGGCATGAGAATCTTATGAACAACTGTGTTGGAAGTGTCAACCGGCTACCTAGATACATCATCTCACAGCAAGTAAACATATGTACTCGTACTGTAAACACCGGCTATTGACTTCAATAGCCGACGCGGAGAGAATCCGTCGGCGCAAACCCCACGTCCTTTTTCCGGTAACCAGCGAGTGTTTATGTTTTATGTTATCTTCTTCTCCCTTATATATGGCCAGGACTCATTTGCGCCTCCGCATGGCACGGGTTCAGTAGTCCTGTTTCTCTTCCTCTCTACCTTCCTACCCCTCTGTCTATCTTCTCCCCATCAGACACAATGGCCACATCTACTACCTGCGAGGCACTAGTCCTCCACGGCGCCAAAGACCTTCGCCTGGTAAACCCACTCCTATACATCTTCCCACCGAGCCAACCCATCAACTAACCCCTCCACCCAGGAATCCAAACCCGTCGCCCAACCCGCCCCCTCAGAAGTCCAAGTCGCTATCCGCGCCACCGGCCTCTGCGGCTCCGACCTCCACTACTACAACCACGGCCGCAATGGCGACTTCGTCGTGCGCGCCCCCATGTGTCTGGGCCACGAATCCTCCGGCATCGTAACAGCCGTCGCCCCCGACGTCACGACCCTCAAAGTCGGCGACCGCGTCGCCCTCGAAGTCGGTCTCCCCTGTCGCAAATGTCTCCTCTGCCAACAAGGCCGCTACAACATCTGCCCCGGCATGCAATTCCGCAGCTCCGCAAAGATCTACCCCCACCTTGACGGCACCCTCATGGAACTCACCACCCACCCAGCCTCCATGTGCCACAAGCTCCCCGACAACGTCAGCTACGCGGGCGGCGCCCTCGTCGAGCCCCTAGCCGTGTGTCTCCACGCCATCCGCCGCTCGAGACCCCCTAGCGCGGAGGACCTCGAACTCGCGCAAAGCCTCGGCGACGCTTCGGGCTCTTCGGCGCTCATCTTCGGCGCCGGCGCCGTCGGCCTCCTCCTTGCCTCTGCACTGGCCGTGCAAAACGCCTTCTCGACCATCGTGGTCGCTGACATTGATGCCTCGCGGCTCGCCATCGCCGACTCATTAAACCTAAACCTCCGCACAACTCTCATCCCCAGGCCCAGCACTCCCCCGCCCGGCCCTGACGCCCCGGCGGCCGAACAATCCGCCTACGCGCTCACGAACGCACAAATCCTCGCTTCCTCGCTCAAGGAATCCCACAGTGTCGGGGCCGGATTCATCCGCGTCTACGACTGCACAGGTGTCCCTGCCTGCGTACAAGCCGGGATCTACGCGTCCGCGCCGGGCGGCGTACTCGTGCAGATCGGGATGGGGAACCCGGTGCAGACGGTCCCTGTGGGAGCGGCGGCGTTGCGGGAAGTCGATATCATTGGGGTGTTCCGGTACGATGGACATGCTTATCCGGCTGCGATTGAGTTGATGGCGAGTGGGCGATTCGGGGTGGTCGAGGAGAAGGTCGTGACGCATCGGTTAGAGTTGAAGGAGGGGGAGAGGGCGTTTGGGTTGGCCGGGAAGGGAGTTGATGAGGAGGGGAGGCCGGTTGTGAAGGTTGTTATTGAGAGTTAAGTAGGGGGTTGGGGATATATGTGTGTCTATATCATCTATGTTTGGCTGGGAGGTAGGGTGGATGGTGTTTTTTGTATAGACTAGGAGGGGGTGTATACTGGTGATGTTAGCGAGATGAAATTAAAAATGAATTGAATTTTATGTTGTTTACGATCACATTCATGGATGTATGTTCAGCTCTGTGCTGGGAACTACTTCATATCTTACCATGTTTAGAGGGGAAGCCCTATCCCACCCAGGCATTACACAGATAGTAGAGGGGAATATATTCATATCCATATTCATCATAAATCATCAAACCTTACAGGCTTACACTGACATCGAGCATACAGATATCACCAAACTATCTGTCTACTTCAACCCGCCCCCCAACAACAAACTTTGTCCCGTCATATACCCCGTCGTCACCAGCATGGTCACCACATTGGCAACCTCTTCGGGAACCCCGAGCCGACCGAGTGGAATGCCCGCCGCAACCTCCGGAATGGCCTGCGCGCTGGGAATCATGCCCGTGTCGCCAACCATGGCGGGTGCGACGTCGTTAACGCTGATGTTGTGTTCGGCGAGGCGGGTGGAGAGGTTCTTCATCATCCCGGTCATGCCGCCTTTCGAAGCGGCGTAGTCTTGATGTCTTTTGTCAGTTATTGAGTCGGAGAGAAGTAATGATATCAATCCTTCGAACTTCGAATAAAGGTAGGCGAGAGAGGAAACTCACGGCATCCGTTGATTCCACCCCCCTGTGCCGCAATCGAGGACATGAAGATGATGCGACCCCAGCGCTGGTCTTTCATGTGCTCGACGACCCCCTTGACGAGGATGAACGAGGCCCGAAGGTTGACATTGATGGTATAATCGAATTCCTCGAGAGGAATATCCCACACCTGCGGGATGCGCTTGCCATGACCGGCGTTGGAGATCAAGATGTCCGGTCGCTGGCCATGCTCCTTGTCGATCTGCAGGAACATGTCCTGGATCTGGTCGGCCGAGGCGACGTCGACCTGGTGGATGGAGATACGGAGGGCGTAGGCGCCGGCATGTTTGGAACGGAGCTCGTCCACGAGACCGGTGATGGCAGTTAGATTGGAGGAGTACGTTAGGGCGAGATGCACCCCTCTCTCGGCCAGCTGGCGCGCACAGGCAGCCCCGATTCTATTCAAAACGGGCGCTTAGTATCATCCCGGATCTGATCGTCACAGCGTTGCGGGTAAATTAAAGGATGGGAAGATCACTTACCCGCCTGAGGCACCGGTGATCAAGGCCAAACGGCCGCAAATCTCATTGAGCTGCGCCATGGCTGAAAAGGAGTTCCGGATTGGCCTTGAATTCGATGTTACCTGCAACAGGATATGTGGTCATAAAATGTGAGGAGCGATTTCTCGGCGAGAGGGGAAAGTGAGGGCCGGACAAGATTCCGAGTGACGATGCTCCGTCCCTCCCCCCACACAGCCCCGCATGGGCACCGAGTGTGGGGGGGGGGGGGGGGGGGGGGGGGGTCCCCCAAAGGAGGCACACGGCATGTTCTTCTGTTTGGAGCAAATGACGAAGGCCGGTTATTCAGATGTCCCAGAAAGGAACAGTTCCACGCCTTGGTCTGACCCGTAGAAGCAGACCCTCCCTTGTATGTACAATACAATACAGCTAGAACAGAAGACTGCTGCTCATATCCCCTGACCACGGGACTTGCCATGTTTGCGACCGATCTTGAAATGGATCAGGATTTTGGAATGCATCGAATGCCAGTGTGTTGCCAGATATTTGGTCGCCCGAGACATAATCTCCAACGGCTTCTAGATCGAGCCAGGAGAAGTCATTCGCGGGACTAAAGTGTACGTAGTTGGCCTGCTCGGCCATGCGATGCTGAAGAGAACTGCTCTGCATCCGGAGATCGCTGCTCTGGTGTGTCCCTGCAGGCGATGAGATCGATGTTGACTTGGACTGCCAAAGAAGCTCAAGAAGCCGGGAGTACCGCGAACCGATATCGTCCGGGCCGGCACTCGCTCGTTTTAGAACGTCGGTGGTTCGAGTAACGAGATCCCGAACATTCAATTCTTCGGAATGCGGCATGACGCCGAATGAGCGCGCCTGATTTTGTGTTAGCTTGTTGCTCGTGTGTTCTGAAGAGGGCGCGCACCTTGTATAAGAAGACGGCTGCATAAATGCCGTACAGGTAGAACCGCAGAGGCATGAAGTGCAGGTGTTTCTCCGGGTGGACCATGTCAACGAGGATGGTCAAGTATGCTTTTGCAGCATCCACAGACTCGTAGATAAACCTGGCATCCTGCATGGAGGCTACATTGTTGAATGTTGATCGCAGATGTTCTCTTTGTGACTGATCGTCATTCTTGGTCTTCGATACTAATGACTGGGAGATTGCTGCTTGAAACGCAAAGGCGTTGGTATATAGCCTCAGATATTCATATGATAATTGCAATGTGACTTGCATCGGCGTAGAGCCTGGCGGGTATTAGTGTAAGGGCCAATTGATTCATAGGCGCGGGGAATGGGTCACTTACAGGACAATGTGCCCCAAAGAGACTTCCACCGCAGAATCGCGAGTCGGAAGTCGTCCACGTACTTCACATAATCTCCCATGAGCATCATCTGATTACTGGTCCGCATTCCAGAGTAAAGCAAGTCATGGACGTTTCCGTAGAGCTGAGTCAAGTCCAGAGTTGCCTGGAATATCCGGGCGTAGTCCTCGTCCCCATCTTTCATCGGCTGCAACGAAGGGAAGTCTTGACTAACGAGGCCGGTCATCGGCCCCGGCCCTCGCGACCAAAACGCACGTCCAATGCGAACAGAGATCAGTCGATCGGAGATGTAGCAGCTCGTCCACGCCAGCCGTCGACGGGCCTCCGCCTCGGTGTCGCCCGAATCTCCGCGAAATGACGTCCGATCCAGTCCGAGGAAGTAGCCCGACCGTAATGCAAGGCCGACATGCATCCAGGCCGCTCGGTCTTCTTCTCCCCGACCCACGCGCTCAATACGAGGCCGAAGGCCCTGAGGCTCCCACTCCGCAAGTATAAGCAGAGCCTCTACGGCCTCCACGTCGCAGTCGGTCCCGGCAGCGATCCCCGATATCAATTCGTGCATGTATTTGGAGCAGTATTCATGGATTTCGGGGCGTTCGACCAGATCCTTCGATGCGATCGTCAGCACCGCAGTAAGCAAATGTTTTTCATTCTTGGCAAACGCATCCAAAGCGCTGCGGTGAAAATATTTCCGTGGGACCAAGGGGAGGTAGGGGTGAAAGTTCTCGGCATAGCGAGCCACCAGCTGCCATACAGTTCCTGGGTCCAAGGATCGCGACTGCACTAGTCTGTAGGCTCGAATGCCGCCGGTTGGTTGGAAATCGGCAACGCCGCTATTCTGAAGAACGTTATACGAAGTGAACCCACTGGGGCCGGGGCGCAGAGGATCAGCGACCGCCTCGGGGCTAGCATCGTCTACACCCCTTTTAGCAATGCCAGTCAAGCACTGCCACGCATCTGATGGATTCCGTGGCACGGAGCCGATAGAGGCCGTATCTTCATCGTCCACCGATGCTGAAGTCGTCGTTGGGGGGTTGGGAGGCACAAAGACAACCGGGCCGGGATAGGAACCATTCGTGCTCTGGCGGTTGTCGGAATTGGTGGGACTGGTCGTTTCTAGGATCGAATCTCTTCGAGCGGCAAGGCTGGTGTCCGGCGTAAAGTTTTTTAATTTGTTTTTGCGAATGCGACGGCCCCCACGGTTCGAGCTGCCCAAGACGCATTCTCGCCCATCTCGGATACACCGCTGACACGGCGGTACTCCCGGACTGCCACTACTGTCTCTATGGTCTCGATCAGTCTAAGCACTCCTCAATCGATCATGCAATCATTCAAAGGAGGCCGAGGAGCGCTAGAATCGATGGAATCCGATATCAAAAGCAAACTTACAGATCGCATTTGGATTTCCGTTGCCGACAATGCAAGCATGCCCTGGACACGCGCTTCATCAAGTGATCGGAGCGAGACTTGGGCCTCGACGCCGGAGTACTCTCCAACGGAGATTGTTCATCGGTATCCATCGCTTCCTGCATGGTTCAATGAATTCAATTGACGGTTCAAAGGAGATCGTAGCACGAGAGCGGCATTTTCATCACAGCATCGCTGGCAGCTCGGCCTTGGCAGAGAAACGCGGTTGGGGCTGGGGAGACGAGAAATGCAGGCAGGAGAAAAGTTCACCCATGAGGAAAGAGAGAACCAAGATCAGTCAGACAAGATTAAAATCGATCTACGGTGTAAACCGAGTCCAAAGTGAAGATAGGACACTTTGCTTTATTTTTTCTCCGCGTCTGTCCGACCTTTAGCCGGGCACTGCCATATTATCCTGGAAAGGGTTGGATCAGCGAAGTTCCCCACAAGAAGCGTGCTTTAAGTCGAAAAGGCGTAGGCTGGGACAAAGACGCAGGCTAATCCTAAGCCTCCTATTCCAAATCGTCAGGTCAACGGTCAAGGATGATTCGAGAATCGAGGGAGAGAGCGTGGGGAGAAAAGGAATGAATTCCTTTTACTAGATGGAATGGATGTAGATTCGTGACCCACGGCTCGTATTACTCAGCCCGTACATACGGTTTACTTACGGAGTATTGGACGATGACTTCACCTTCAATTATTATTATTCATATAGTATATAGACATTTCTCTTTTGGTCAGTTAATCCAGAAGCTTTGCTGATGGGGTTTACGAGAGCAATGTTGCCTAGACGTTTGGGGGTTCTGTCTCTGCTAGAGAACCTAAGTAGTCTCTACTACCTGCATCGTCGGTGGATATTCTGTGTCATATTAATATAAGATAAGGACACCTCAAGTTGGAATTAAACACCAGTAGTGTTCTTAAAAGCCCGACTGCCTAGTAACACATGAATCAGACATTCAACCAGGTTAACTACCTATGATCATCTACCAAGGCTACATGCAGCATGACCTCATCATGTTGCACATTTGCCGGCATGCTGGCGCCAATCCACCAGGTCTACTGTGTCTATTGGAGTAAAGGCCTCTGATTGATAATGATAGGGATTCCTAGTTGCATCAATCCCGGCAGTGTTAAGTCTCTCTATCAATCAACACTCCGTAGACAGAATGCTCCCGTCAGATGTCGAGGTTGGTATAGTATGGTAACCAACACGCAGATACCGTACGCATACACCTCACGTGCCCACTCGGAGCATCGCCGAGGAAGGTTCCGTTGCCGACTGCGGGGTATCGGCCTTTGAACTGCGCGTCGGCTACGGATTCCTCTTCTTTTGGGAAATGCGTTTGGCTGCCCCGCACGTGAGGAGGGCACCTTAAGGTGGCTGTCGCTCGCCAATGGCCACCAGAACCGGGATTGATCCTTTTTCTTTTCGTTGAACGGAAAACATTGCTTGGTATTTTTGGCGACTGATTCGTCTTCGACACTGCCGTGAAGAAGCAGAGTGCTGAGAATCCCCGTCTACAATTGTATATTTACCTAGCTGGATTGATACCCTTTCGCAATGGCTACAGCCACGTCACTCTTTTCGCTGAGTGGGCAAACCGCCATCGTCACAGGAGGAACAAGAGGCATTGGACAGGCCATGGCCCTGGGCCTTGCTGAGGCAGGCGCTGACATCGTTTTAATCCAGGTGAGTTGGTCTAGGAGCTTCGCATTCTGTGTTATTTGACTGGGGATATCCGCCAGGCCAAATAAGGAGACGTAAAGACAGAGCTAACGGCAACGGGGTAGAGAGACGAATCAAACACATCGACCCACGACGAGATTATCAACCGCCTCGGTCGAAAGGCTTGGATCCACGTGGCAGAACTGTCAGATCGAGAGGCAATCAAGGGGGTTATCCCGGCTCTGACGAGTCAAGGAATCAAGCCACAGATTCTGCTGAACTGTGCTGGTATCCAACGGCGTCATCCGAGCGAGAAATTCCCGGATGAGGATTGGGACGAGGTGGGTTAGACAACGACCGACGGCCCGTTTTCTCTTGGTCTCCTCCCCCGACATCTCCTGAGCTGAGACAGAAGGGTTGCGCGTGGCACGCACGGGCATGGGCTCCTTTCGTCCGGAACTGGAAAGCTAACGGAGAACGTGGGGTGATCCTAGGTCTTGCAAGTCAACCTGACGTCGGTTTTCACGTTATGTCGTGAGTTCGGGGCTTATCTCCTGGCCCGGGATGCCTCCGAGTTCCCATCCGGACGACGTGGCTCGATCATCAACGTCGCATCGCTTCTTTCGTTCCAGGGTGGCATCACCGTGCCGGCATACGCAGCGTCCAAGGGCGGCATCTCGCAATTGACCAAGGCGCTCTCTAACGAGTGGATAGCCAAGGGGATCAACGTCAATGCCATCGCCCCCGGATACATCGCTACCGACATGAATGTGGCTTTGATCAACGATAACAATCGTAATGCGGGTATCATGGCTCGAATCCCTGCAGGAAGATGGGGTAAGCCCGAAGATTTTAAGGGCGTGGTCGTATTCCTGGCCAGTCAAGCCAGCAGTTACGTTTCAGGAGATGTGATATGCGTCGACGGCGGTTGGATGGGACGATGAAGTCGAAAATGGCAGCGAATCCTGCATCCTCACGAAAATAGAAGTAAAAAAAAGAATCACACGAATAGATCAACGGAATGTTACGATTAGTTATCACCCCTCTCGGAATGCTTCTGCTCCGATAAGAGCCCCAGGGCCATCTCCCAATAGTAGTAGTAAATCGACACAGGAGGGAAAGTCAGGTCATATTTGCTTTAGTCTGTCATACCACGCCGCTAGTCCCTGTTCAGGATTGATTACGGGCCTCATTTCCACCAGGAAAGCTCGGGGATCTTACTATCGCTGACCCTAGGCGCCGAGGAAGTCCAGGAACTATCGAATCCTTTAGATGAATGAGACAGACTCCCTGCATCAGTTCGGGGGAGGAAACCACGTTGTTAAGCGGAGCTCTCGCGAAGAGAAACACAAAAGTAATCAAAAATGGGATCGAGTAGGAACTACGGAGCACGGAGTCGGTAGGACAATATAGCCGCTGCCCGTTACTGTTAGCAAGGAAAAGAAAAGGAGATCCATCGCAATATCGCAGTAGATTAACCAGCCCACCGTTAGCGTGAGACCCGTGATCCGCCATGTGACTGGCCACCTTCCGGTCGGAAATTTCCCTTGTCCAACAAGAAGGGACCAAAGCTTTCCTTTTCTTTCTCTCTCGCGACTCGCCCCGATCTAAGCGATCAACTATTGTTTCATTCTGGATCATGGCTCGCATAATCAGAATACAAGTACTCAAGTTGGTCAGCGACCTAGTCTCCGGCCATGCTTTTCCCTCTTTTTTTTCGCTTTTTTCTCTTACTTTCTGCAGGGCTCAGTTCACTCCCGGCCCCCTTTCGCGCTCCCTCGGTGGGGTCGTGATGCTGCCTAGTGCCTAGCTGCTATCGACAGGCCAATATCCGTGGCCACTCGACCAACATGAAACACGCAAATGCAACTTCAGAGCCAATGCAACGGGGGCTGACTGCCTTTGGTAGTGGCGAGATCAAGCGATGACCGAGTCCCTGAAGGAAAAAAGCAAAAACCAACAGAATCACCCCAATCCCATATGCAGCCCTGGGCGCGTAGGCTGGGCGCTTCCTTCTTCAGGCACGCTTCACAACTTGCATTTGCTGCAGGCACTGAATGACCGGAGAGTACGCTAGCATTCGCCATTCACCTTGGGGGGGGGGGTCCGTGGACCCAAACCTAACCCCCCCTGTCCTTTTCCAAGGTTATTTATATTCAATAACCTGCCAAGACACGCCAATTGGAGCTAAACGACTCGTCCGCTTCCATTTGGAAACACCGATGCCCTGTCAGCGCACTTAGGAGAGGCCCCGATAGGTTCAAATCAGCTCGCAGACGCCCGCCTTGGCGCTCGAGATGAACTCCTCTCGATGGGGGACCACGCCATTAACTCGCCATGGATTTTTTTCTCGGCCTCGCTCAGGTTGCTTCCAGTCTCGCGCTAGGAAAATACTGCCTTAGAGATCCGATCCGCAGTGGCCCTTCCCTGTTTGCCTTTTAAGGTTTCATCCTGCTCCATGGATCTTCATTCGAGGCCCTTTTTTCGTCTTTTTCTCCCTCTCTTCTCTGCCCTATTATTCTTTCCCTACTAACTTATTCAGCTGGCTCTGAGATTGTCCATTCCTTTTGAGGTCTTGACATCATATTCCATTCCATTCACTCGTTGCCTGTCAAAAGCTTCAATAGTTTGATCTATTCAATCGTGGTTTTTCCCCTCTTTTTCACTGACTTGGTCTGTTCGACAACCACAATCGTTCATCCCCTCCCCTTTTTCTGTCTGTCGACATTGATCGACTCGGATTGGGACTTGAAATTCACCCATTCCTTCCTTCATACTGGTAGTGAAAGATCTTTGTTTTTGCTCTCCTCAATCGATAGACTTGTCTGTTGTTGAGTTGAATTTTTTTTTTTCGCCTTTGTTTCTTGTTCGGTCGCCCTCGCGCCTATTTCCGTCATTCGCGACGCTGAGCGTCTCTTGGGCCCCTTGCTGGATTCCTCGTCGTACGATCATGCATGTAGGAGAGTGGAGGTAAGCATTTAAGATATCTGGAGGCTGGTTGTTGTTGACTTTATTGACCATCTGTAATATGATCAGGTCGCAAGTTCTAAGATTTCAGACATCGAATCGACTCAACGTTGCCGCGGTGTCCGCCTCCTTGTGGTATTAGCCAATACTGTCATTGAACCATCCACGGGTGTCGCTGCATAACCGACTATCTCCATTATTTGCATTATTTGGACAAAGGAACAACACGCCTCGGAGGAAGTCCATTGTCCTGCAAACAACCAGCTTAATTTTCTATAAGTACCGGGTTACAAGGCCATTGTCCACGTCACCCAATATTCCTGGCGTTTGCACTCATTCCAAAGGTTTCCCCGTCAGCCGCCAAACATTCTCCTTCCCGTCATACCGCATACTTGACCTGGATCTTTATTGACATTGGGTTAAATCGCCCGTCTGGACTCTTCCATCAAAATAACTCAGCACGTTTCAACTCTCGGACTCATTTCCCGCTATCTTAAATTCACGACTTGCTTCACCTTTGGCCCAGACCAACCTTCGAGATCCAATGGACGAGGTTAGTCGGCTCGTTGCGCGAAGCCATGGATCGACGTCGAACGAAACCTATGTATACGAATTCTCGCGAGGATTAGGCGGAGTCAATGTTCCTCGAGATGTTTTGTTCTCGCGTATCATCTTTACGTCGGTATTAGTGGTGGGCGTTGTTCTTTTCTGCGGCCGAGTCGCTCAAATCAGTCATTCCTACCTTCGTCATATCAGCTCCCTGTCGGCAACTGCAAGGCAACAAACTTTCTGGAGTATCGAAGAATCGCGGCTATGGTCCAACATGAAGAAATATGTTCTCTATTCGCCATTGGGCAGCAAGAGGCACAATCGGGAGCTGCAGCTGTCGTCCGCCCTCAATGTGGGCACTCTGCCAACCCGGTTTCAGACCGTTCTCATCGTCCTGTACCTGCTCAGCCAGATTGCCTACTGCACCATCCTGGACTACTCCGTGAATGAGAAGCCAGCTCTGGTGGCTGAACTTCGTGGACGATCAGGAACGCTCGCTGTCCTGAACATGGTTCCTCTGTTCATCCTGGCTGGCCGCAACAATCCACTCATCTCCATTTTGCATATCAGTTTTGACACCTACAACCTTCTCCACCGTTGGTTGGGCCGAATGGTCGCAATCGAGAGTATTGTCCACACCATCGCCTGGGGCGTGAACGCAACGGCTGAGACGAGTGTCTCGGATATGGCCCATCGTCTAGTTAACGAGCCTTTCTTCGCCTGGGGCTTGGTTGGAACCGTCGCCATGGCTTTTCTGGCAACGCACTCGCCGTCTTCCCTTCGACACGCTTTCTACGAGACCTTCCTGCATCTCCATCAACTTGCCGCTTTTCTGGCCTTCCTTGGTGTCTACGTGCACATCGATCTGGACAAGCTACCGCAGAAACCCTGGATGCTCGCAATTGGTTCTCTTTGGCTGATTGAGCGGTGCGCTCGGATTGCACGACTGCTGTATCTCAATTGCTCTTGGAAGAAAGGATGCACCAAACTTGTCGTCGAGGCTCTTCCCGGTGAGGCCTGCAAAGTGACTTTCCATCTCCCCAAACGCGTGCACATCAACCCTGGTGGCCATGTGTATGCCTACATCCCCAGCATCTCCAAGTGGATGTCTCACCCGTTCTCGATCGCCTGGGTTGAGCCGGTTAGCTGCGTGACTGCGTCCGGATTCGTGGACTCGCCCTTCAAGTCTCCGTCCCGCGGTGAATTGAGCCCCGGGCTTCTGGAGAAGCAACCGATGGTCGACCTTGACCAATACATGCAGGATAGCAAGCAGCCCACCTCCGTGTCCCTTATCGTCGGTGCTCAAAAGGGAATGACGCGGTCTCTGTACAACAAGGCTCTTGCTGCGCCCAACCAGGTGCTTCACACCACAGGTTTCATCGAGGGACCATATGCATCGCACGCGTGTAATATGGGCAGCTACGGTACCGCCGTGCTTTTCTCTGGCGGTGCAGGCATCACGCATCACATGCTACATGTTCGAGACTTGATCATCCGTGCCTCCGAAGGCCGCGTCGCCACGCAGCAGATCTACCTGATCTGGTCTGTTCGCTGTACCGATCACCTTGCGTGGGTACGGGAGTGGATGGACCAGATCCTACGGCTCCCCGGCCGTCGTGAGATGCTCACCATCAAGCTGTTCGTTTCGAAACCTAAGAGCAGCCGTGATATCGTCTCCCCTAGTGCCACGGTTCAGATGTTCCCCGGTAGATGTCGACCACAAGTTGTTCTAGACGAAGTCCTCCCCAAGCGTGTTGGTGCCACCGTGGTCTCAGTCTGTGGGCCTGGTGCCTTTGCAGATGAGGTCCGTTCGGCGGCTCGTGAGAGTATCGGCAAAGGTGCTGTGGTTGATTTTGCCGAAGAAGCCTTCACCTGGTGAAATCTCAATATAAAAAAATTCTGATTTGACTTTTATTGCTTTTCTCTTTTCTTTTCTTATCTCTCACACTCTCTATTCCGTCATTTCGCCATAGATCTAGTACCTTCTTTACTCTCGTTTAAACCTTTGTCCTCAAACGTTTTTTAACTTTCTTCTTTACCTTTCTCATTGTCTCATTCTTCATGGATGTACAGTATATCGACCACCATTCTCGCACATCATTTTATCCGATCTCCGGCATAATCTACATCCCCCATTCTGCTTTCATATTCCCTGCTTTTTATTTGGCATCATTGCATTGACAACGAATCTTAAGGCGTTCACGAGAAGTGCATGATCTGGATCTGAACTTTTTTTTAACGCACGTCTCGGATACACACAAACATACATAACTCCTTAAGCGTGTTTTGCAATTGTCTTATAAGGCAGGTAATTATCTTCTCTTGTCTTTTGTTGTCATCTATTACGGACCTATGTATATTCACCTTCTCTACTTGTCGTCCCTGCGTCGAGTTTATACTCCTGGCTCTTTGATTTTGCTTGTTTTAA